GTTCATCCAGCTCTGCACCTTGTTGTCTCACCATTTCAACTAACTTGGGTTTGCTATACCTTTGATGGATTAATACTTTATCATTACCCTCAATGTAAAAGGCCTCCATGTCCTTCATTTCAGACCTGCTTAAGAAATAAAAAACATAATGACCACAGAATGAACAAAACAGTCTCTCACCTGACCCTCTGCCCCATCCAGTTTTTACCAGGATTTCATATTTGTAGAATCCATCCTTTCCACATAGGGGAATAACTCCAACCTGATTAATGTCAATCAGGTCCAGCTTCCGAACGATGACAACAGAAACCGCGTAGATGACAAAACAGATACCACACGTTAGCAAGACGATGTAATTCTTTATAACAGGCGAGGGCTGATTGAAATAAAAGCAGAGAGAAAGTAAGTTTCTCTTCACACTCCTAGTCCATCATGTCTTCATAAAACATTCTAACAGTGCAAAAGCCAAAATTTTCTCTCATGGTTAGTGTAAGTGCCACAATTTGTACCTGGAAACCTTAAACTTGAGCTGATGAATAGTAACAAAAGGTTGGAGACATTTTGATTTTGCCTGTATTGCACACTCTCCCGGAGGCAGATTAGCCACATATCATACAACTCTCTTAAATACAGTCAATGAATCATAGAATTATGCAGCAATTATGCACTTGGTTCATTGTGTTTGCACTCTCTCTTTTGCAGAGCTATGCAATTAATCCCAATCACCTGCTTGTTCCTCATAACCTACAAACTTTTTCCCTATAAATATTTATCCAATTTGCTTTTGAAAGTTATGACAGAATCGAAAGTTATGATCGAACCTGCCTCCACTACCCATTCAGGATTGGTTTGGACAAGGAGGATTTTTATTTTATTTCTCTTTGCAGACACCCATTGGTGAGCTGTGATCTTTCATTGTGATAGTTTGAGGATGAGGTCTGTAAGCCAGGATTGTTCCACCAGCCGGTCTGAAACTGCTCGGTCTTCTCTTGGAACATTTATCTTTACACAAGCAGTACATGGCAAAAAAAAAAGAGGCTACCATTAAGAATGTTGCGGGAAGTGATTTATTTCTGCAACTGTGCATTCAGAGAAGTCAAATGGTCTTTTTATTACCTGTCTTGTGAATGGAGACCATCGGATCATTTTCAATTTCGACATACCCTGTGCAGTTAGTGAATGTGCTGGAGGGAGAAATGTTTGTGTGCAATATGGGAGACAAAAGCAATTCCTCCTCAGCTTCTCTAGGATTTGCAATTATTGTAGTGTCAGCTGTGGTTCAGTTAGTAGAACACTGCCTCTGAACCACAAGGCCCTGGGTTCAAGTCCCACTTCAGGCTTGACAGCATATTCAACAAGCTCAGCAGTTCACTGCAGTCCTGAGGGAACACTGCACAGTTGGAGATGTTACATTTCAGATAAGGTGTTAAACCAAAGACCCTTGTGGCACTATTTCAAAGAGTGGGGGAGTTATTCCTGGTGTTCTAGCCTTTAATCAATATCACAAACACAGATCATGTCATTATCTTATTGTTAATCCATTCATTTTTATAAAAAAATGACAGTGGGATAGTCTATAAAGCCTCCTGAAACAGAACCATTTAAATCAGAAAACAAGAACACATGTCTGATCAGACAAAGTCTTCAGCACTGTTCAGGAAGGAGCCGAGGGTTGAGGGGGATGGTGATGGATTAGAAAATTGGAAACTGGGTGGGATATGCAGCAGGTCCAAGACTAATTTCACACCTTCATCTCCTCCACCCATGAAGTTGAGGGAAAATAAAAATACATTAAGTTCCAGGTAAAGAAGGGTTAATCTATCTTTCTAACATGCTTATTGATTGGCTAGAGATTTACAACATTCGGGAAAAGCATGCCTTACTTCCCAAGTTTAATATTGTGGAGTTTCCATTTCGGGGTGGGGTCTAGGAGAGGGGAACTTTGACTAACCACCACCTCCCCACTACACACAGCTCCCTTCCACTAAAATCGCCACCACCACCACACACCCCCCTCAATTGTTTTCCAATCATGGATCGTGCTTCCGTGGTGAAGCTTCCCGGCAGCAGTGGACTTTAAAAAGCTAATTCTTTATAGGCCCACCCTTGCCCAAGGAAAATGCATTTTCCATCAAGAAAACTGGAACTTCAAGCAAATAACAAACAGCTCCAGAAAAAAAGAACTTTAACACATGCTACACAGCAGTGATGCAAAGGTAAACACACCATTTCTGCAGAAACATCCGGCTCCTACAAGCAGATGGAAGCCATTTGCTATGGCTTACTGCATTTTACTGTGACTGATCCTCCCATTCTGTGCCTTTTATTAAAGCCTGGCGCTGCCACATCAAATACATTTTTTTAAAAAGAAACACAGATGTTGAGCCAATATGCTCCAAACGGCACTTGGAACAGTTCACGTGGTTGATTTAATTGTTGAAACAACAATTTGAACTTATAGAACATCTTTAATGTAGCAAAACCATCCCACTGAACTTAATACTGTCATTGCCATGACAGAGATTGACACTGAGCCATGAAAAGAGATGGTCAGAAGGACAACCCAAACGTTGGTCAAAGTGGTAGGTTTTAAGGAATTTCTTGAAGGAGGTAGGAGCAGTTTATGGAGTGAATTCCAGAACATAGGGCTTAGGCAGCTAAGCTATGGTCAACAGTTACTGGCAATTGTAAGGTTTTGGAGTAGATCTGTAGCTCGGGTTGTGGGTGTTGAGGTTGTTACTGGCAATACTCAAAGGTTAAGCAGAAACTAACCTTGTATATGAAATGGTCTGTAATAGAACCATAAATTCTTATGTATTATTTTTGCACATTACTTGAAATTTGAAGTAGACAGTGCTTTTTGTTATTTCTTGCCATAAGCATATTGCTAAAAACTGGAGAAAGTGTACAATGTAGGATAGGAAATATCCTCAACAAGAGGAAAAATGCTAAACAGGATTCTGCCATTCAACCTTGTCGAACGTATTTGAAAACAAGAAGATCAGCCAAACTCTTCCCCAAGCCAATCTACTTCAATGCCAGGTAATTCCTCACCCAATACATCACCTCACATTGCCTCCCTCCCAATCATTGCCAGTATTAGACATGTAACCAATACTTTTTCCTATGTTGCAGTGCCCAAATACACCTCCACAATCAGAACATAAGTCTGGAAGGACAGAACCTAGAATAGGATAGAAACGTTATTTTGAATTTTAATTTACATAGTTTAGTCCTTTCTTATATCAGAATGGTTTGCAATGAACAGTGATCTGAACTGACACATGAATAATAAAAATATGAAAAATCACTTAAAGTGTTAAAGGGCCAATGGCATCTCAGAAGCTTTTGGACAAATTTGGTGCGCTGAGAGATGAGGTTATGTTGTATATTAGAAACGGCATCAGAACATATTGTGGCACTGGGACTGAGAAACCAAATTGAAACTACTGAACAAACATGTTTCCACCCTTAAGTGGAGTCTTGAATACTGATGAAAAGAGTCCCACTACAGTGAAAACACTTTGTTCAGCTTACAACGAATTATTCAATGTCCGTCTTCTTCGGAAGCCTTTCATGTGAAACAGAACTTTTTTTTTAAATGCACTGACTTTACTTTAAACAACGTTGATGGATTTCTGTGAAGTTCCTGCAATTTGTTGAGTTACTTACCAAACTTCTCAGGATTTTCAGTAGTGTATCGTATGACCGGGTCAAAGATATTGCTTGCCAGAAAGACAAGGGTTGAACAGGGAGGGGACTGGTTGAGTATTCAGCAGGGCTGGGTGGAGTGGACCCTTAGGTTGGAGGCCTAATGTAGTTGGCCCTTCTCCAGCTGCAGATGGAGCACATACATTATTCACTTGGATTGCCCTCTGTGCCCCAGATGTTTCATCTATATTTAAGGCAGCTGCATAGTTGTGGGAAGAATGTTCTCATGGTTAACCCTAGGATCTATAAGCAGAGCTCATGACCTACGGAATTCCCTCCGCAGCTGATAGGCAAATAAGCAGAGGGCAAGAAAGTTTGGCATTACTCTGCAAACTTGATTTTATTTCTTTCCATATTAGGATAAAAGTTGTGTTAATTATACATATTTTTGATAGAAATCTTTTAGAGTTTCAATTTTGAACTAGTGGCATGTAGGCTGTGTGTATGTGGATGTATGTTTGAGTGAGAAGAGCTATTATGATTAATATGCAAGCATTTCTGTAGCTATGGTGATTTCTTTTTAAAAACAGATGCGAGAGATAGTTGTTGGAGGCTGTTGGGAATTTATATTCATTGGGAGAAGTTTCTGAGTGAATAGGGTAAACAGTTGTGCATTAGGACTCAGTCAGAAGATTTTGGAATTTCTTTTTTGGCTTAGGGGAAACACCCATAGATTGAAGGAAGCCTTTTTGGGTTGGGCAGTTTTGTAAATGTTGCTACTAAAAGTGGATCTGTAAGACAGTTGCTCCTGAAGAAGGGACAGAGTTTAGAATTGTTAAACAATTGGTTGCAACAGTGTAAAGAGTTAATTTGAAAATTCCAGACCAGAGCTCAATTGTATGAAGATTCAAGGAAGAGGTTATTAAATTCTCAGGGCAGGGAATTGAAGACATACTAAATTAAGCCCTATAAATAGGAAAGAGAAGGAATTCTCCCCGGTGTGCGCGCTGCTTTTCAGGTTATTTTACTCTGTGTGTTTTGAAATCTTTAAACTTATATGTTATATATAAATAGAAAGAAAAACCGAAATTGCTGGAAACTCAACAGATCTGGCAGCATTTGTGGAGAGGAAGGAAAGTTACCATTGCAGATCCAGTGAACCTTCGTCAGAACTGAAGACTCCAGGAAGGGTCACTGGGGCTCAACTCTGCTCTCACTCCACAGATGCTGCCAGACCTGCTGAGTTTCACCAGCAGTTTCTGTTTTTGTTCCTGATTTCCAGCATCTGCATTTTTGCTTTTTTATATGCAAAAAGCTTGGTTTTAACCATTATATCTTCATTTATTTTGCATAATAAACTTATTTTAGTATTTAAAAAATCTGCAGCATTGCAAGTTTTTTTTCTGTGAAAGACCTTATTCAAACCAAAAATACAAAATGCGATCCATCAAGCCAGATTTCAGTCTGAGATCTGACGTGTCCAGCAAGAACATCAGCTAGAATTGAAACAGCATGCGGAACGAAAACAAGTTCCATGTACATAGCATCTTTAACATAGCAAACCATCTCAAGGAGCTTCATAGGATTATCAAACCCATTGTCAGACTGAGCCATATCAAGAGATATTAGGATAGGTGACTGAATGCATGGTCATGGAGGTAGGTTTTAAAGAGCAACTTAAAAGGAAGAGGAAGCAGAAGAGAGGCCTAAGAAGAGAATTCCATCGCTTAATGTCCAGGCAACTGAGCATAATTGTAGAGTGGTAGAATTCAGTGACGGGCAAGGGGTCAGAATTGCAAAAGGGCAGAGTTCTGAAAGATTTGTACATTAAGGCATTAAGTACTCACAGGATTGATAAATACAACTGAATTAGGAGGCACAAAAAGGCTTGCTCCAAACGCTGTCAGGTGTTGTGTTAAGCACACGGCCATGTCTGGTGTTGTATCTTCTAATGGTAAAATCCCATCAGTTTTCCAGCTCATTGCAGTCATATTGAAATACTGGCAGAGTGACGTGTAGACTCCGACAGCAGCTTGTACAGAGGATGAGGTATAGAAGTTTGTGATGTTCAAATAGTAATCTTTTGTTGTGTCATCAGTACTGGGAAAAAAATGAAGCGAAATAAATAACCTTTGAACTGTAAGCACTTTGATCGATATCGTTTAAACTTCAACAAGCTGCCAACCTCCTTTTCTTACTTTATCCCTTACATTCTGACTGCACAATAGGCAGACATCATAGACTACAACTCACCCCAGTCAGGAATGACCTACTGGTGGGGGGGGATGCGCAGAATTGGGGGAAATGGTAAGGCTTGGCAACTTGCTTTCTTTCTGCCTCCCTAATGTCTTATTGGCAACAAGTTAGATGGAGGCAAACCGAGGCCCATCAGAAGCCTATTAATCGTCTTGTGCTACAAATGCTGTAACTTTATACAGCAGGGTGGGAGAGGGTACACCACGTGGCAAACCTTGTCGAGCTGCTTACAGGCTTGAGGTCAGGTCATCATTCACTCTTGCCACTGCCCTCCCTCCATAGTGCCCACTGCAGAAAGGCCTTCCCCTGCTTGACTATTCCAACTCCCAACATGGCAGGCCCTATCTATCTAGAGCCAGCATTTCTGTCCATCTTCCCCACCCCACTCTTCGGGCTCGCATTGTTGCCCCAGTCTGAAGCTGGCTGCACACCTAGGCATGGCCACCATTCTTGGTGGCGTTGCTGGGATCAAAGACCTTCTAATGATTGGCAGCTCAAGGAAGGTGGACACCTGACCTTGGACAGCATAGAAGCCCAGGAATCCAGGCGACTAACGGCCTAATGACTGCTGAATCTGATTGTGTGTGCAAAGTCAGTGGAGGTGCGGTCACTTTCCACGAGCTCTGTGCCAATGAAGTCACACACTTAATCCCAGTACAGGGACCTTGATTTTCCCTCCTGGGTTTTTCTGGATCATCGCACAGATTGCCAGCCTAATCTTCATTGAGATAACCAACTAAAGAAGTAGAGCAGGCACAGTGGGCAGGTTGAGGAGATAGGAGTTATGCCTGTGAGGGCAACTGGCAATCTTCACATACCTGAAGTTACAGTGTTGCTGAGGGGACTGGAAGGAGAGGGAGACAGATGAAATGGAAGAGTGAACCAGCTTAAGGAAACTGTATTCATAACTTTATGACCAGTACCAGCTATGACACTAGTCTTCAGAAGGCAACTGTAGATTTGGGGCAAAGATGGTGTAGTGGTAATGTCACTGGTCTAGTAATCCAGTTGCCCAGGCTAATCCTCTGAGGGCACAGGCTCAAACCTCTTCATAGCTGCTGGAAGAATTTTAATTAATAAATAGTGATGGCTGTATAAACCTGACCAGTTCACCAACGTCCTTAAGAAAGGAAACGTGCCATCCTTACCTGGTCTGATCTACACGTGACTCTATTACCACAGTAATATCACTGATGCTTACCTGCCCTCTGAAGTGGCAGCCTTGCCAATGACACCCACATCCCATAAAAGAATAAAATGAAATTGTAAACCTCTGTGAGCAGCAGATTACTTTGGGTTTACCAACTGGCACTTTCAAATTACAGGAAGTTTCCATGTTGCTCTGACCTTACATAGATCACTCACCTCCAGGGATTGTTAAATGCAGACGCTGGAGTTTGAGGTTTGGGTGGATACGATGCGATGCTGGGAACATCGTACTGTCCTGGTAAATGGCTCATGAGTGTATCATTAGCATTCTCATCTAGCTTCCTGCCACTGTCAGCAGTACAGGCAATCCATCTCCAGGATAGGTAGGTGGAGCTGGGGCCACATCTGCCTATCTGCTAGGTGGTATGCATTCTGAATCCCTCAACCTCACCTTCAAATCTTTTCCTGGGAAAATTCTCCCATGTCTGGAGCACATGGCTCTTTAAGCCTACAAGTCTGTTGCAGCTGTTACAATGGTGTTTCTGGCAAAATGAAGAAATATTGCTCTATGAGTACCATTGGTTTGGTCACATGGTTGGGTATCAAAGCTGCTTTGCAAATGCCTGCATCTTTGACAGGAAAATCTCACTGAATTAGTGTGGCCGGGATCAGAAGCTAGGTCTGGCTCCAATTTTGATTGCTGGCCCCTTGGAACATCACTATCTTCCATCATAAATTCCACATCAGTCTGAGTCAATTTGAGCCACCATTCGGTAAACACACACATAGAAGCACTGAACTGTTACAGCACAGGAAGACGCTATTCAGCCTGCTGGGTCTGCACCAGTTCTCAGATCAATGCACCCAGTGCCATTCTCCTCTTTTCTCCCCGCAGATCTGTATACTGTTGGTTTTCAGATCATAATCCAAATTCATCTTGATTGCTTCAATTAAACTTGCCACCATTACACACTCAAAGTGCATTCTAGATCCTAACCACACCCTGTTCGAAAAAATCTCTATTGCAATTATTGTAATTATCAAAACTTCTCTCAATTTTCTCTTCTCCAAGGAAAACAGACCCAACTTCTCAGTGTAATGGGAGGTCCATATCCTAGAACCATTCTCTTTAAGATAACAAGGTGTAGAGCTGGATGA